TCAGGGAGGGCTTTCTGAACTTTCCTTTTCTGTCTAAAGACAGATCCTCCAAAAGGAACTCAATCGTTTTGAATCCCCTCCCTGGAAATCTCACCAACCAGGGAAGATTAAACCCATATTACAAGAGAGGAGACTGGAGGTTGACATCATGCCCAGATGACCTTTATCACAGGGTGTCACTTATTTTTCTGAGGTCTCATTTATCTTTCCCCAAAATCATTTATTCCTCCTAGTGGCCTACTTCCCCCCTCCCCTCTTCCCTATGAAGAGGGTCTATAAGCTTCCAGATCTTTCTGGGTTGGGCATTCACTTTTTGTTCATGTGATGTCCCCATGCATGTAAAAAAAAAAAATGTGTATACCTGCTATCGTTTGGATGTGGTTTGTTTTCCCTACCAAATCTCATGTTGGAATTTGATTCCGAACGTTGGAGGCGGTGCCTAATGGGAAGTGTGTTGATTACGAGAACAGATTGCTTGTGAATAGATTAATGCCCTCCCTAGGGATGAATGCATTTTTGCTCTGTTAGTTCACCCCGTAACTGGTTTTTTTAAAAAGAGCCTGCCCCCACCCCATCTCTCTTGCCTCCTGTCTCCCGATGTGATCTCTGCACATGCTAGCTCTCCTTCACCTTCTGCCATGAGTGAAAGCAGCCTGAGGTCCTCATCAAATGTCCAGTCCTAAACTTTTTCCAGACATCAGAATCATGAGCCAAATAACCTTTTCCTTTTTATAAATTACCCAGCCTCAGGTATTCCTTTATAGCAACATAAAATAGACTAAGATAATATATTATCTCCTATGAATCTGCCTGCTGTCAATTTATTTCACAGACTCAGTTACCAAACCATCTGAGGATGGAGGAAAGCCTTCCCTCTCCTACACATCCTGTTTAAGACAGCTGTCTTGCAAAATATATACTGTCATCTCTATTTTGCAGATGAGAAAACTGAGGCTCTGTAAGAGAAGCAAAAATCACTTGTCCTAAGTCACATAGCTTATAAGTGAATAAGGTGGGATTCAAACCAGGATCTAAGTCCAAAGTTCGTGTTCCTTCCAACTATCTGCTGATCGCTAAGTAGGTCAGAGTCACCTGATCTCTATGTCGATTATTTATTCTGTGGATTAACCAGAGCTAAGAGGTATTTAAAACCTGTGCCTGCCTAACTCCTTAGCATATTCCACTCAATTGGTGGGTGTTCAGTGGTTGTCAACATATTTTGAATCTTTATTATTTGGGGGTTGTCAACTAATATTGTTTTGTTTTATTTTATTTTTTAAGATGGAGTTTCGCTTTTGTCACCCAGGCTGGAGTGCAATGGCATAATCTCGGCTCACTGCAACCTCTGCCTCTCTGGTTCAAGCGATTCTCCTGCCTCAGCCTCCTGAGTAGCTGGGATTACAGGTGTCCGCCACCACATCCAGCTAATTTTTGTATTTTTAGTGGAGATGGGGTTTCACCATGTTGGCCAGGCTGGTCTGGAACTCGTGACCTCAGGTGATCTGCCCGCCTCAGCCTCCCAAAGTGTTGGGATTACAGGCATGAGCCACCATGCCCAGCTATATTATTTTAATATTAGGCCCAGACAAACAAAAGTAGGAAGGGAAACTTGATGGGACAGACAGGTCAGTGAAATATTACAAACCAACTATATTTGAATTTCTTGATTATTTATTTTTCTGGATTATCCACAACTCCCATAGCAGTGCAAGTAAGAGGATAATTTCACAATTTTCATTTGGTTCCATTTCCTTTGTATCTTTTCCATAATGTATTATGCAGCTATTCACCCAGGAAGTGTTTCATAAGTGGTATGGATAGGCATCCCTTGGATCAGTTCCCTTTTTGGAATTCTAGGTAGTCTAAGTTACCATGAGTGACTTCATGTCTTATTCATTTGACAAACAATATTGGTGCCTACCATGTGGTAGGTGCCATGCTAGGTATTAGAAATATCAAAATAAAACAGTATTGGTGTCTACTACGTGGTAGGTGCTATACTAGGGATTAGAAATATCAAAATAGAAAGGACACAATTCTTACCATCAAGAAGCTCATAGTTTAGTGGTAAGAAATCCATGTAAAACATTCAAAATGCAGTGTGGTAAGTGATATCATCGAGGTATGCTCAGGGTGTAATGAAAGCATAAAGGAAGTCTGGTTAGAGTGAGTTGTGGGGCCATACCAGAGAGAACATGTGAATTGACTCTTGAAGAATTTATCAGGTTTCCAAGGTAGGGGCAATCTTGACAAAGAAACTAGCTTGTTCAAAGGCATGGTGGTGTGAGAAGTGTCAGCAAATTTAGTAGTGTGCAAGCATGACTTCCTTGTAAAATGGTGGAAGATAATGTTGGAGAGACAGATTAGAGGTCATGTTAAGGAGCTTGTATCTTGTCTCCCATAGTACATAGGATCAGACAGGTAAGGTGAATGAGTGACGAGGACAGTATTGAAGGATAGAAGAAAGAGGTGGTGATGGCTGTAGAACTTGATTGTTCATGCTTGTTTCAAGGAGGCAGTTCTAGCTGGATGTAGCCACATGGGAATATGAATCCAGAGTTATCAGGTCTTCTGGTTTTTTAACAGAAAAGCGGGAAATCTGGATTTTTTAAAATGTGAAATCTCCAGAGTTCCAATAGCTGACAATTGCTTTTTTTTTTTTTTTTAATTCAAAGGTTTAGTCAATACTGCACCAAACACTACACTGGATGTGGTCTGCAGACTGTCATTGAGACCTGTGCTTTAGGGGACAGGATATGTATGGAAGCATAGAAGCTAACTGAAGCAACACTTTAAAACACTTAAAAAATAACCACATACATTCCTCTCTGGATTGCCCCATTCCAACATTTCTACTGCATATGATGACACATGTTTTTTCTCTGGGGAAGCAAAGAGACGTCGCAGGTCAAATGCAACCCTCAGGGCTTCTGAGGGCAATGGTGTAATCCAGAGTCTCAGTCAAGCCTGGTAGAACATGGTAAGGTGAGACCAGTGTGGCCCCTGAACATCACCATCACCACCAGGAGATGGCTGTCATTTGTTTCCTTTTCATTTTAGAGGAAGAAAGGGCAGCCTGTTTAAACTGTGTATGCAAGAAAGTCAACACAGCCAGTGACAACACAGATAAAACACAGTGTAAAGGCTATTAAAGTTCATACTCCTCATTTTACTGCCAGAGAAACGAAGGCCCTGGAAAAGCACAGTGACTTGCTCAGAGTGACCCAGCAACCTAGTGGCAGGATGAAGTCTCCTGACTCCTGGTCTAGCATTCTTTCCAATAATCCCGGGCTGTGATAATTAAAGTAAATCAGCCTGGCAGTTTTCCTAGCATCTAGAATTCCTGGACTGGACAAGCAGGACTTGAGAGCAGCTGTTAGACACCTTTTTTCCCCTTAGCTCTAGCATGATGATATTCTTTGTGAACTTTGTATTTCATGGGTAGGGGTTAAAGAGAGGACACGAGGATGTTTTTGAAGCACTGAGACCATTCACAAAGTGTATAGAGAAAAGTTGTCTGTGGCTAATATATTTAAGGCTTATGACCTCTGTGCTCTCTGGACTGGCCTGCCAGCAGATGCTTTTGGTTTTGTGTTTTATTTCTCTTCTTTTGTCTTCTTTTCTATCTCTATCTATGTTTTTCTTCTCTTCCACCAGCCTAGGTCTTAGGCCTACACATAAGTGCTCCTGGCATTGCTGAACCTCCATGATGACACTCAAGATGTCCGCTGCAAGTCAATGAAATTGTTAATTATTCATTACTCAATTAATAACATGGAATGAGAGTGCGTAGTGACTATGAAGTGTACATGCTTCCCCTGCTGTAGTCATTTCACTTTCTATAATCTCAGACTAGTAACTCTTGTCAATTGTGACTCTTGATTTAACTAATCCTTTCCATCCTTCATTTCAGGGTCTATTGTTCTGCCATTTGCCACTTTTTTTTTTTCTTTCTCTGAACCCGTTTCTGATTGGTGCAGCTGTTGAAGATGCTGCAGTTGCAGCAGTGTACATCTGGAACATTTGGCTGACTTGTTGAACTTCCCCCAGGGAGTACTCCAGGAGAAGGATGGGAGGGGTGGAGAGGCCAGAACAGTTGCCTGTAAATAAAGATGCCAGTAGTGTCTGACCATTCTGTGGACCACCCTTGTAAAAATCCACTTCATTCTGGCCCTCGGTTTCCCTATCTACTCACTGAAGGCGTATGTTCTCCAATCAAAACTGCTGCAGTGGAAGAAATCTATTCTGGCTGTGGATGCTCTCATACAGCATTTTCTGCATTGTATCAATAGATATTTGTTGAATTAATTAATATATCAAGAAATCCTAGGAGACTGTTTTACCCTTCATGGGACAACATCATTTCAGTTCCGCTTGGCATGGGTCGGCTTCTCTGTTACTTAGATTGAGCCTTCAGAGTCACTCCAGGAGTGAGGCTGCTTGAGTCCCACCCATTCCCATAGTTCCCAGGCTCCTGGGTCTCCTTTTCTTCGGGCGAGCCATTGAATTGCAAACACAGCAGGCATGATTTCATTCCAAACCCGGAGCTGTTTTAATTAGTTTAACGTCTGTTAAACGCTTTGAAGATTGGAAGCAACAGATAAGTACTGGATGATGTTATTAACAACTGCAGTTAATTGCAAACATTTCTATTAATGCTAGTTTCTGCCTCCTTTTCTTTGCTCTACTTTCTTTCCAAGGTTCCCAAATTCGTAGCCTCCCCCTCTTTTCCTCCCCGTACTGGCGATATAGGGTTAAACTGGGGCGGAGCCCAGGGATGAACGACAGCGCCAGTCACCAACTGGGACGGGGCAAGCGGGAAGAGCTGGGTGGGGCGGCCAGACAGAGGCGAACCCTCACGCCCCCAGGCCCCGCCCCGCGGCTGGAGGCCCGGTTGGAACGGCACGGGGCGGGGCGCCGAGGCTTGGCGGCCCCGTGGTTGGGCGTCCCGGCAGCCGCTTGAGGGATGGGGCGGGGTCGGCCGGGACCTCCTCCTTCATTCCCTCGGCGGGCCGAGCCTCCCCTCTCTCCCGCCCCTCCTCCTCCCTTTCCCACCCCTCGGAGTGGAGCTGCACATGCGGCTGCTCCCTGCTCCGTCCCGCCCAGCCACCGTCGCGCAGGAACGGGTCCCTGCAGCCCCCAGCCGATGGCAGGACAGTAGCCGCCTGTCAGAGGTCGTGAACGGCTGAGGCAGACGCAGCGGCTCCCGGGCCTCAAGAGAGTGGGTGTCTCCGGAGGCCATGGGCTACCCGGAGGTGGAGCGCAGGGAACTCCTGCCTGCGGCAGCGCCACGGGAGCGAGGGAGCCAGGGCTGCGGGTGTCGCGGGGCCCCTGCCCGGGCGGGCGAAGGGAACAGTTGCCTGCTCTTCCTGGGTTTCTTTGGCCTCTCGCTGGCCCTCCACCTGCTGACGTTGTGCTGCTACCTAGAGTTGCGCTCGGAGTTGCGGCGGGAACGGGGAGCCGAGTCCCGCCTTGGCGGCTCGGGCACCCCTGGCACCTCTGGCACCCTAAGCAGCCTCGGTGGCCTCGACCCTGACAGCCCCATCACCACTCACCTTGGGCAGCCGTCACCTCAGCAGCAGCCGTTGGAACCGGGAGAAGCTGCACTCCCCTCTGACTCCCAGGACGGGCACCAGGTGAGTCACCTAGTAGGGGCGGCGGTGGCCCCCTCCCCTAGCGGGTAGGGCGAGGGCCCTCCGCCACAGGGGCCTGGGGGCACTCTGCCACCTCGAGCCAATTTAGAGGGCAGGACCAGGGAGGGACCAGGCGAGCAGGGGAGAGGTTGCCCAGGGCAGGTTGTCTTCGGTCCCTGGCCCAATCTGGACTCCCTGGGGACTCCTTGACTTGGAAAGTCTAGCGCGCGCCCGCGGCCCCTGGCTGCGGGCTGCCTGGAGAAAAGTTGGCGAAGCTCCCGTCGAGGAGGTGCCTGCGCTGCCCCCCGGCCGACTAACGGCTTGGCCCTTCTGCTCGTGATGAGGTTCTCTGCCCGCGGTGCTTGTTTTTTCGTGTCTAGAGCTGATGCCAGAACCAGCAGGCTCCCCTTTGGAGTTGGAGCTGTAAACAGCTGTAATAACTGCTCCACGCCCGCCTGTTGAAACAACTTTTAACCGCATTTTCAGCGCGGGTCCTTGTGCGCTGACCAGAACGTGGGCTTGTTCACACTTACCTGCAATTTGAGACTGATTGTCCTCGGCGTTCTAGTGAGGATCAGCGCCCCTGAGGAATTCTGGTAGAAATATGCCGTCTTGCTAGACAACTTCTGAACAGCAATTTTAAAAATCTATGGAAATAAAACTCACCCTTTGCATGCCGGTTCTGATTCTTAAGCGGGGTAGGTGTGCGGTGGGAAGGGTGGGTGGGAAGCGCTTTTGCTACTGCTAGCTTGAGAACAGGAATCTGCCAATGGAATAATTACTCAGGACTAGTCCCCCAAGAGCAGTTTTGTTTTGTTTGTTTTTGCAGCCTTTATGGTGTTTGTGCCCTTATTAGCAAACTATTAGCTTTGGCGTTTGTTTTCCACTCTTTCTAGCTCTTTATTCAAGTAAATTTAGTTCACTTAATGTAAATATTGTCTTCGTTGCCATATGTGAAACTTAGGAGAAGCATCCAAGGATCCTTTTGAGGTGGCTAAAGAATAATAGTAAAATTGTACCTCTTAGGGAAGAGAACAAGTTGTACAAATAAGTTCCTTGAGGTGAGGGACCCAAGCCTTCTATATTTACTTCCACATCCAGAGTCATTGTCACAACTCTGTAAACATTATTTGTGCCACTTTGACCTCCCATCTAAAGTGGTACACTTGATAGAGACATCACATTCATGATCATAGTGTAATGTTAGGACTGATACTTAAAAAAACAAACAAACAAACAACAACAACAACAACAAAAAAGATGTCCGTTGTAAAGTTGCCTTGAGCCTTAAAATGTCTTACTAGCACACTCCAATTTATATAACAGCTTATCAAAGAAGAGAATCAGCAGACATGCTTCTCATACTTGAAACTTTAAACATTGTAGCTAAACGATAATTAACTAGGATTCTGACTCCTTTTATTTATCTACTGCCACTCCCCCCACACCCCAATGCCCAGTAGAAATATTTAGCAGCTGAACATTGATATTCTGTGAAAAGGTGAAAAAATTAAATTTCTTTAGTCAAATGTTGGCCAAGACTTTTTGGCATTCAGGATGGACAGAGCCGCTTTTATAGACTGGGGATTAGCAGAACAGCTGTACTCTAGGGCTTCTGTGATGGCATGAAACTCTTACAGGTGTGTAATGGCATTTAGTTACCTGCCCTTTGTGTGGCACTAAAATAGTTCTCTCTAGGTTTAAACACAGCTTCCTACCTTCTGTCCTTTATTCTTTCTGTTTTAATATTTTTGAGCAATAGAAGCAAGGATACTAGCTCTTTACATTTGTTGACATCAGTTGGAATCAGTTTCCTAGAGTTATGAAGGGCTTATATGAGTCCATTTTGTTTGATTCCCTTGGGAAACATAGGCCCTAATGGGAAAGTGACTTGCCCAAGGTTACATAACTAGAGTCAAAACTGGGATGATAGTTGCTCTCTTAACTCCTAGTTCAGTGCCCATTCCCTCAACTACCTCCTGGGACCTTTTGCGAGGGAGCAAGATGGAGCTCCATATTAGAACTTTTGCAAAGTAGAGCGCTCAGATCTGCATCATTTTGTTCTACTCTACCTGTATTTTGACCACAGTAAGTTTAACCATGTATTCCTTATTCTTCCTGAACTTCACTTTCAGATTTGGAGTATACTTTGAAGGAATTTTAGCCCAAATTCAACTTAAGTTTATTTTAAGTTATTCAACTTGTGTATCTTATCTTGTATATTAGTTTTAGTATACAAAAATAAGTTTTTAAGAAGTTGATTGGGTATTAAATTAATACTGCTACAAGCTTGGGTAAAATTTCTAGTGCCCTGGTGCACCCTCTGCTGGCTTTACAGGGACATTTAATTTTCAGTATCTGCTGACACTCAGAATTCTACATTGTGCTGACAGATTCTGATTCGGTAAATAAGGAAGTAAACAGCCTTGTGGGATTTGGCCACGTAGGTCATATTTTTATATTTTAGTTTTTCAACACAAACAACTGCTGTTACAGCAAATCTTGGATGGAGAGGAAGAAAGATAAAAATATACACCCTTCAACGGGCAATACATTCAGGTTTCTTACTAGTTTATCTGCAAGGAGTGAAGGCAAGCTGATGACAGTAAACTGCAGGAAGCTTTCATGAGACCAAGTGGGCAGAACAGTCAGAGACACTTCATGCAGGTAGGCAAAAGTAAACCTATTCATACTTATGAGATGATGGGCTCTGGGCTCTCAGTTATGACTCAAAAAAGGGACCTGGAAATCACTGTAGATGTGTGCATATCATCTCTCAATTTAAAAACTTTTTAAGCAGGGCACACAAGGAAGTTAGGGCAGGTAGGATACAGAGCAGAGAGATTAGCACAGTTCTCCATGTGAAATGTTAGAAAAGTCTCCCCAGTAGGGACACACTTGCTGATGATAAAGTGAGAGAGTCACATCAGACCTTCTGTAATCAATCATCTCCTTCAGCTGGAGCAGCCAAGTAGCTGAGATTTGTCTGGATAGTTGGTGGAGATTATCTCAAGAGCAAGGGATATCTCATTTGTGTCTGAATTAGGACAATATACAGTAATATGATTGTCAGTGTAACAAACTAAAAATCACTGTTGATCATTCTGTGGAGATGTTGCTCCAGTTGTGATTGTGGTCCTCAAAGGCCAAGAATGTAGTGGGTATCATCAGGAAGGGTGTCAAAAACAACACCACACTTACAAAACACTTATTTTTTCCATGTACAAGATCAAAAGCAGATTTGCTTCTACAATCAGACAGGAAATTCTGGTGACTGGTCCTCAAGAAAAGCCTAACAGCTGATAAAAGTCCTCAGAAACCCCATTAAATTGATCAAAAGGATGAAGGGATTTTCTAGTTTTTTTCTCAGTCTGGATAGAAAGAGGCTGAAGGAGGAATATGATCAAAGTCTACCAAACCATGAGCGAGATGAATATGGTTAATATATTCGTGTAACTTAACAATCCAGTTCAATAAATAGAAAGCCTGCTTTGCCAGACACAATGTTAAGTATTAGATACTTTTTAATGTTTGAAAAATTATTTTCAAGAGGAGGCAAATAAAGGTAGTATCTTATTCAACTCATTGTCTCAAGTAATAGTCAAAATTATGGGTAGATCAATACGGATTTACTTAAAACTGTAGGGCTATTTGGAGTATGTTCCTAATTATTTGAGGTGATGTCATAGATGTCAACCTTTAAAGTTCTACAAAACGTTGCTTGACATAACTAGATAGACCATTAGTGTATCCAGAGTTGACATTACCTGTGTTAAGGCTTTTTGATCAAGAACATAACTAGGAATCATTTGAGGTGATTCAAGGTGAGCACAATGAATAAATCCAAGGATTTTTTTTTTTTTTTAATGGAGGTGGGATCTAGATAAAATACATTTACTGTGGGTTTAAATACAGAACTTTTGATCAACTTGCTTCATTATTCCCATCCCATTTTCTCTCTCACTAACTCTGCTGCAACCCAGCCACCATATCCTGCTTAGAATCATTCTTTAGTTGTTATTGCTGTTGTTGTTTTTAAATACATTTTATGTCTTTACATTAGAGCTCCTTAGAAATCTGCCTTCATTTTTGTCTTTCTCCATAATGCCTGACACAGTGCTAGTTACAATTACTGTACTCAAATACTTGTTGAGTTGAATATTATTTTGGGACTATGGACGTGTTTATGTAAAACAAAGACATTTTCTCTTTCTGTAACAGGCCTGTTTTCCTCAGGTCTTGCTAAGCCTGTGACCTGTCAGCTATGCTTAGGTGAGTAAATAGTTCCACTGGCAATGTTTCACTGATTTCTAGAATAATTAGAAAGTGAAATGGAGAAGGGCCTTAACCATGTGGTCAGTCTCCCAGTTTCACATCTTCTCTCTAAGATGGTACAAAAAGCTTCCTGTAATATATTGTTTGATGTTTTGTTTTATTTGCTTTTAGGTCTCATATCTTACCTCTGAAGCCATTTAATTCCCAAGAACATTACCAAGAGAAACGACCTTGCCTGTAGAGGACCATTTTATCTGACTCCTCTGTAAATACTCAGGACTTAGCTTTTCATTTCATTTCTTTCTTTTATTAAAAACCTTTTCTATTGAAGTATAACTCATACACAGAAAAGTATATAAATCATATTTGTACAATTTTATGAATCATTACAAAGTGAATATACTCATGTCACCAACACCCAGGTCAAGAAATAGAACATTATTATATTCCACAACTCCTACTTATATCCTATTGTTATCAGTATATCCTCCTCACTCTCTCAAGTTCTAACACCATAGATTAGTTTTTTTATGTTTCTCCACAGTGCCTGACATAGTGCTAGTTGGATTAGTTCATTAGTTTTGTTCATTTTGAACTTTATATAAATGAAATAAAACAGTGTGTATTCTTTTGGATCTGGAGTTTTTTGCTCAATACTGTTTTTGTGACATCCGTTCAGGTTGCTGCATGTGGCTGTAGGTTTTTATTTGTATTTTTTTGTGTATGTGAGACAGGGTCTTGCTCTGTCACCCAGGTTGGAGTGCAGTGGCATGATCATGGCTCACTGCAGCCATGACCTCCCAGGCGCAAGCGGTCTTCCAACCTCAGCTTTCTGAGTAGCTGGGACCACGGGCACATGCCAGCATGCCTGGCTCATTTTTAATTTTTTTATAGAGACAGGATCTCTATATGTTGCCCAGTCTGGTCTTAAACTCCTGGCCTCAAGCTATACTCCCACCTCAGTGTACCAAAGTGCTGGGATTACAGGTGTGAACCACCATGCCCGGCCATTTGTTTGTATTTTTGTATATTATTTCATTGCTTGAATATACCACAGTTTATTTACCCTATTTTTAATGAATTTGTGGATTGTTTCCAGTCTGGGGCTATTACGGATGCTGATGTTGTGGATATTATTGTACATGTCTTTTGGTTACATATGCTTGAATTTCTGTTGCTTGTATACCTAGGATTGGAGTTGCTGGGTCATAGGGGATGCATATTTTTGACATTATTGATAATGACAGTTTTTTAAAGTTATTGTATCAATTTACATTCTTACCAGCAATGCATGAGAATTTCAGTTGTTTCATATTCTTACTAACACTTGGTATTGCCAGTCTTTTTAAACGTAGCCATTCTGGTGGGTGGCTTTGTAGTAATATCTGGTGATTTTAATTGGCATTTCTCAGAAGACTGATGAGGTTGTGCTCCTTTTCATGTTTATTATGCATTTGCATATCTTCTCTGAAGTGCCTATACAAGTTTTTTGCCCATTTTTCTATTAATTTGTCTGTCCTTTTCTTATAGATTTGTAGGGATTCTTTATATACTCTGAATATGAACTATTTTTGTATTTTTTATGTTGTAAGCCATTCCCAAATCTGTGATTTACCTTTCTTTGTGGTATCCTTTGATGAACAGAAGTTTTTAATTTTAATGTGTTTAATTTTTCAGTATTTTCCTTTATGGGTAGCATTTTCTATGTCCCATTTAAGAAATATTTTCTTACTTTGAAATTGTAGATATTCTCCCATATTATCTTCTAGAGGCTTTATGTTTTTGACATTTACATTTAGGTCTATACTCCACTTGAAATCAATTTTTGTGTATGCTAAGATACAGAAACTGAGCTTCATTTTTTAAAATATAGATATCCAGCTGATCCAGTACCATTAATTATAAGGACCATCTTTCCCCCAGTCCTCTACAGCATCACCTTTGTCATAAATCAGGTGCCTGTATATGTGCAAGAATGTTTCTGAACTGTTTATTCTATTCTGTTGGTCTCTTTGTCATTGCATCGCTACCACAATCTTAATCACTAGACTTTATTATTATCTGGTAAAGCAAGTCCTTTTACCTTGTTCCTCTTATTTAAAAGTATCCTGGATATTCTTGGCCCTTTGCATTTAGAATCAGCTTGTCATGTTGCACAAAAAAGAAAAAAAAAGAAACGTGCTGGTATTTTTATTGGGATTGCATTGAATCTAAAAATCAATTTAGGGGGAACTCATCATTTTATGGTATTCAGTTTTCCAATCCATGAACATGCCCAGCAGATTTGGTGTTTGGTGAGTGCCTTCTTCCTGATCCATAGAATGACACACTCTTGCTGTATCCTCACGTGGTGGAAGGGATAAATGCACTTCCTTGGACCTATTTTAAAAGGAAACTAATCTCATTTACAAGGATTCTGCCCTCATTATTTAATTGCCCCCTAAAAGCCTCATCAAATACCATCACATTGGTGATGATATTTCAACATATGAATTTTGGGGGGAACACAAACATTCAGATCATAGCAAACCTGTTTTAGACATTTTCTCAGCATCCTTTATGTCTGTTAAATACTTTTCTCTATATTCTATCCTTTTTTTTCTCTCTATACTTCATTCTGGGTATTTTCTTTTTTTTTCTTTTTGAGACAGTTGCCTCTACATACTTTATTTAAAAAAAATCTTCACAAGAACAATGCAAGGTAGATACTGCCGTCTCTATTTTTACATGTGGAGAAACAGATCCAGAGGGGTTAGATAACTGTTTGCAATCATATAGCTGTTTCCAGAACTACATTTTAAATAGGAATTTTATAAACCATATATAGAACTTGTATCAACTGAACCATTTAAAATGTGCAGTGGAGAAGTTTCTATTTAAAGGGCTCCCATGAAAGGTAGATTAATTCAATAAGTGGTATTGGGATTTACTGACTTGCCATTTTGGGGGTTTAAAAAAAAGACAAGTAAAACTGGATCCTTATCTCACCTCTTATACTAAAATGAATTCCAGATGGAACAAAGATTTACATGTAAAACATGAAATCACAGACATCCTAGAACACATGGATGCATATTTTTATAATCTTACATTCTGGGTATTTTCCTGTGACTTAACTTCCAATTCATTAATTCTGTCTTCAGCTTTGTCTAAACTCCCTTTAAACTCGCTCATTGAGTTCTTAATATAATTTGTCATTTTTTTTTTATTTTTAGAGTTTTCATTTGTTTTTTTTTATAAAATAGTGTTTGGTTCTCTGCCAAAATTCACAATCAACTATCTTTTAACATACTGACCATAATTATGTGAAAATTTTCATTTGATTACTCATTATTTCAATCCTTGAGGGTGTGTTTCTATTGTCTATTGTTTGTCTTAATTTTCTATCACTTTGCCTTTCTCCTGGTTAGTTTTGATTGAATGGTAGACATTATATATGAAAAATTATAGTAGAGATGGTTTGAGGCCTCAGTTATTTTTATCTTTATCTAGAAAGGATTTATACTCACTTCTGGCACATGGTTAGAGACACTAGCAATCTCACATCTCCTTAATTCAATATGAGACTGAGATAATTTAAAGCTGCTCTTCAATCCAAGTGAAGGTTGACTTACCCTTCCTTTTAGTATTTATGCCTTCTAAGTTGAAATCCAAGACTTGGGCTTTTTTTTTTCCCTTGGGAGTTCCCCCTCTTTGAAGGGTCCTCAATTCCAACTTTTGTTCTTGTAGCTTCATGAGTCTGTCAGAAGCTCCTCTCGCTCTCTCTCTCTCTCAGCTGACTCTACTATATCAGCCAATGACCTTAGGAGAAAAACAGCCTCTCTCAGTTTTCTTTTTATCCTGCATTTTGGCTTTATAATATTGCATTACTTTATTAGATCTCAGATATCTTGAAACGTGTATCATTTATATCTTGCCCCAATTTTCTTGTGTTTTTTTTAAGCAGGAAATTTAGCCCAAATTACTTTTGCTTCCATTACTAGAAGCAGAATCAGCTTATCATTTCTTCAACAAATGTTTATTGATCATCTCCTATGTATCATGCACTGTACAAAACAATGGAGAAGCAGCTATTGAACAGATTAGAGGGGATTTCTGCCATTGTGGAGCATACAGACAAGTAAACAGGCACATATAATACAATTTCATAAAGCAATGGTAGGGTTAATCAGAGGATAATCTAAAGCACTAAGGAGGAGTACCTGACCATGACTTTTGAAATCAAGGAACATGTTCTTGACAAAGCATCTTCTGAGCTTAAACCTAAAAAGTAAGTAAGAATTATCTAGGATAAGACTGTTTTAGGCAGTAGGAACAGCAAGTGCAAAGGCCTGGAGATGAAAGAGAACATGGTACATCCAGGAATAAGAAAACCTAGTTTGTATGAAGCTACTATTATCAAGACAGTGTGGTTCTGGCATAAGGACAGGCATATAGATCAATGGAATAGGATTGAGAGGTCAAAAATAAACTCTTACGTTTATAATCAATTGATTTTTGACAAAAATACCAAGATGATTAGTTGGGGGGAAAAGATACCCTGTTCAATAAATGGTGTTGGGAAAATTGGATATCCACGTGCAAAAAAGATGAACTTAGATACTCACTAGAGACCATACCCCAAAAATGAACTCAAAATGGATCATAGGCTTAAATGTAAGTACCAAAACAATAAAATGTTTAGAAGAAAACATAGAAAATCTTTAATATCTTGGAGAGCAAAGATTTATTAGATATGACACCAAACACATAGTCTAAAAAATAAGTGAACCGTTTTGGAAAGAAACTTTTTTTTTTTTTTTCAAAAGAAAACCTTGAAAAATGAAAAGAAATGCAACAGACTAGGAGAAAATCTTTGGAAAACACATATCTGGTAAATAACTTATATTCGAAGGAATTTACAAAGGACTCTTGGAATGTAACAATAAGAAAAACCAAACAAAAAAATGGGCAAAAGATATGAACAGATATTTTACCGC